TGGTAAGAGTCTATTTAAGAAAGTATTAGTGGTTTGAATCTAAAGGGCTGGGACACTCCCTGCACCGTATTGTCTAAACTCAATACACTTGTGTCTTCTGTTCAATGTGTGCTGTTTCACGAATACTAAATGTAATTTAAGTTTGCCTGGCAAACATGTCTTCCTACCACTGAAATTAGACTACGATTTTGCAGTAGATTTATCTCCTGAAAACGTATAGGCGACTGCCACGTAGTTTACATTAGATTGGGGTCACAAATGCCTTATCCAGGTTCGGCTGCTCATCCCTATGCGGCAAGACACAGAAAATGCAACAACCAGGCTAATTTGTTGATTGTTCTAGCTAACTAAAAGCTGTACCCTGATCTATTTACGCATTGCGTTCGAATTAACATTTTTTGTTACTGTCTTGAAAATTCATTCTTTGTCACGCACCAAGAACTGCACCGCCTAGTTATATATTTCAGACCTTGGCAAAAATCACATGCTGCCCTATGCCCTGACAGTTGGCATAGAAAGTCAGTGATGATGGCTTCTATGCTTACGAACTCTTCTGATCGTAAATTAAATGCAGCTCGGAGAGGAAAACACCAGATTGAGATGCTGTTTTAGTTTTGTAGGAATGCTTTCATGACAGGAAAGCATTGTCCTGCTTCCAGAACAATAGTCCACCTTCACACACACATGTGATTCCTAGGAGGAGGAGAAGTGCTGTATTTTTCAGATGAAAATGTTGCACGAACAAAGATTAATGCAAGCATGGAAGTACATGTTGCGACTCAAGCAGTAACGTGTGACTTACACGATGCTTTCAAGTTAATATGAGCCTCAGTTTCCTGTCATGTTTATGTATCACAATCCAGTTTGGGTCCAATTGCTTCGTCCATATACAGTATACTTAAAGCCGCTAAAAGTCTCCATGGGCTCCTTACTATATTGCGCACATCTATTTGGGTTTTTGGTTTGTCTACGTGTGGTTTTCAGTTGAATTACCAGTGATTTTAACTTCATTATAACATTGGTTCAGCCTGCAGCTGATTGGAAACTCTTAAATATATCCAAGGATTTGCATCATAATGAAACTGTTAAGATACTATTTCATAGATAGATGAAAAATAATTCACTTAGGCTTAGCTTTAGGTGGAAATGTTAATTTGTCTCTACCTCAAAAGATTAATTTGTAGGTTATGATGGCAGTGTCATTATTATTTGAATAAGATATGGGCCTGCGGGAAATGGGATTGGGTTGAATGGGGCTGTACAATAACACACTACAGCCTTGTACTGCAGAGTCAAAATGGCGCTCGGTGCATGATGTAAACGCATATTCTTCTGGCTTAATAGCCATCGGCTAAGTCTTGTGCATATGCAGTGAGTTGACAGCGGAAGCTGCAGGTAGGGAGCCGTTGTATGAGGATGGAAGGTTCCCCTCCCCCACAAACCAATGCACCAGACAGGCGCTCTCCCCGCCTGACAGGGCCTGTCTGGCAGGACGTGATGTCTGGTTGTCAATGTATTTACTGCGAGGCATCATTGCTGGTGGTCAGGATAGTTGTTTCTATTAACACTTCCTCCGCTTTCGCAGTGAAGAGTATTTGATTCATCCTTGCAGATCATTCTAAGTTTTTAAACAAAAGTTTTAATATTTAAGATGGATGAATGTTTGTAAAATTACATGTTTTTTTATTTTATTTTCTGGTCGAAGTTCCCATAAACCGAATAAGGAGAAGTATCCAGAACCTCTCTAAAATACTTTGCTTAAAACTGAGCAGTGAGAGTTTTTCACTATTGTCTCTGACTGCAAATGTATTTGCGTAATTTATTTAGTCATTTATTTTTTTGTAGTTTGGTTATTACCCCTTCAAGCATCGCGACTTTGATTGAAAGCGTTTCCTTCTTTCTTGTCATTATACGCAAATTTAAGAACTATAATATGCGGTGACAAAAAAAGTAAACCCACTTAGGCGAATGAATTTTAGTCTGATTTCCCAGCATAAGAGACAAGTTTGCGTACTTACCCAGAGCAACTCATTTGAACCCTAAACTCAAGTTCAGGGTTCAGTGTGGGCAAGAAAATAGCAATCTTCATTTGACAATTAATTATTTATAAATCTCGCTGTGAATGGGTAGTTCGGATGATATTAATTTGAATTTTTAAATACAATGTGAAACTTGGGCATGCGGAAACTTGCGGGAAATATTTATAAGAATCTGTGTATCTTAAGCAGGTTGAGGGTTAATGAAAGATAATGAATTCTGAAGTTCACGTTAACATATTTTCTGTGGGGCTAATTAAACACTATAGCTAACATGGAGTTACTGGTATCTTTGCTACTTTTCCTTAAACGCCTACATACTATCCAATCTATATTTTTTTTTGCTTTTTTCCCCTCTCCTAACCATAAACGTGATAGTCATAATACTTACTTCTACTTACAAAGGGTTAAAGAAGGCAAATTCAATAGTTACCCGTATATTTAAGATGTTAATCTGTTGTGATAATGTAGTGTAGTCTAGTTTTTCAGAAATGATTGATAAAATCAGAAACGGACATTTGCAGTCTATTTTAGAGAAATGTACAGGTCAGATTAACACGTGATTTATATATTTGTATACGAAAAAAGATAGTGGATTGCAATTTTCCTTCTCTTTTTTTTTGGCTTTGCTTTGTTTAATGTTAAACTGTCAGGCTGCCTATTCGACCAACGCTACATCATCAGTCTGGAGGAACTGTTTCTACAATCAGCAAGAAATATGCACTTGCATCTGTTATAGTAGACAGCATTGATTAAAAATACTAACAATTAAAGAAGATTTTTAATATACGGTCATTAATAATAAAAAGGAGCTAAATTCTTAGTTTGGAAGGTGCCGGTTTTCTGCCGCGCAAATGTTGTCAAATTCCTGATTTTCAAGCAGAAACTAAATAGTATTTGGAATTCTTTCCCCCTCTTCGCACATAGCAAATATTTTAGAGTAAGGGTCTCCAAATAACTTCTAGTTTGCTGCATACTTCAGTGTGAAGTTCATTCTTGCCTGTCTAGACTCTGATTACGACCTTGTTTGTCTGCGTTTTTTTACCTTGACCTTGGACTTCCGTGCAGCTGCCGCTTGGATGAGCTTTTCGCAGTTGTAATTTCCTTGAGACAAAAGAGCTAAAGTCTCTGTCCGAGGAACAACAGGGGTCCGGCTTCCCCAGTGCTGTTTGCAAATGCGCAACGGTTGCTCGATTATTCCTAAGACAACTCAGAAGAGCAAAAATGTTGATAAACTATCCGCCCTTTACAGGGTAGCTTGTAGCCTGCTTTATGAGTGACTCATGGAACAGGCATTACAAAAAGCCTTTATGGATTCACTGTGGGCCTAGCCTATCGGCCATATTTGAAACTTGAAAATACAGTAAAGTTTTATATATTAGCTCAGAAGTGATTTTTGAAATGCAGAACAGAAGAAAGTGTGTGTGCGTGCGTGTGTGTGTGTGTGGGAGGGGGGGGGTATGGAACCTGGTGGTAATAAGAAGAACTAAAACTTTTTGAATAGTCTTACAAATCTAAAGGAAGACGCAGATAAAACAACAGAGGAAGAGTTGTTGGAAGAAATAGGTCCGCATATCTATCATGGAGTATAATTAAATAAGCTCTTTAGCCAAAATACAGTCCGCTCAAAGCGGCCCTTGTTCTTATTTTCCCCTGGTAGCGTCAGCATCCACTTATAGAGTATGAATGAAGTGCACAGTGAAACGGAAACATCACATGAATTCGCTTAATGGTGACTTTGATTGTCTTCTTGTCGCTGAAACTCACTTTGGGCCTGAGAGTGAATCTTTAAACTAAATATATCCTTACTTAAACATATAACGGATTAAACTATAAAAACTAAACGCTATCAGTCAGTATGGGCAATTACGGCATTTACATATTTAAATACCAAAACACTGTTCGCTTATTTTGTAATGACGGCGTCTTACCTGCTATGACTTTCATCTCGTCCTGTGGCGGCTGGTACTGCGGTGCAGTGACTGTCATTCAGCACATTCACGGTTGATAATCCTAAAACTCAGCCTGGTAGGTCTGCATCACATACACACGGCGCGCACACACCCGGCCAACCTGTAGATACTTACTTAATTAAGAACAATATGCTGCAAAAAATAATTACCTCATTCTAAAAAATAACTAAATAAAAGAAAAGAAATACATAAAATGAAATATTATAGTTTTCACAATATCAACATCTTAAATGTAATATTAGTAACATCCTGATTATTCCCTGCTGCAAAAAATAAAACAAAACAGAATTTCTTCATTATATTCATGTGCGAATTAGTAGAAGATACGGATCTAAATGCGCACTTCTAGGAAGGAGCCTTGATAAGAGGTTTGAATATGCATATATAGTGTCCCACATATACCTAAGACCAGTGTGCGATAATAAAGATTAAGTTGACTACATAATTAAGATTCCATATTACATTATCGTTCTGTAATATTATATATTTTTAACAAACAAAACCCCAGACGCAACATATCCACCACAAAGTAATGGACAGAGATAAGAGTTTGTGTCATATGAAGCTGAAAATACTATTCACAAATGTAAATACAAATATTTTATTTTAATTTTTTCTTTGCACAATGTCATATGCCCTGGCATCTTCAGAAATCGGCTAAACTTCACAGGTTGCTTTCGTTTGCTCCAGATCGTGAACGTATCCAAACTCCCCTTTAAGGGTGTGGGTCTAGGTGATTTAAGCCAATGATATGACTCGGTGTTCTGCAGGAAAAACGGTGACACTTGAGGCAGTGGGTCTTTAAAGGGCTGCTCTGCTCCTGCTCACAAGCTCAATCTCGTAGGACTTGTTAGCGTATCACGTGCCAGATTCTTAATGAAGTGGACACACAAGAGCACTATGTGCGCATGCGCTCGGTGTAAACTGTAGTTGGAAATGAGGTGTCCGTCTTGGAGTAGTCGACTTTTAAAAAGCATCGGCAGCCCGTGATATGACGACTTCGCTAGTTCTGCATCCACGCTGGGCGGACACCTTGATGTACGTTTATGAAAAAAGCCCGAATGAAAACAACCAGAATAAAAGCCAAACAATGGAGGGACTGAGCGGTAATTGCCCTGCGACCCACTGCAGGGACCTGATGTCGCACCCCGCGCTGGGACGACATTCTGGCACCATAGCGACCCACCAGGGCTCCGTCTACTCGGATATTTCCTCCACAGACACTGGCCGACAGTGTCCCGCTTCTCAAACATCATCAAGTGCATCTTTGAGTTACGGTTATCCCTTTGGAAACCCATATTACGGCTGCAGATTATCTCACTCGCACAACGTGAACTTGCAGCAGAAGCCTTGCTCGTACCATCCCGCAGAGAAATATGCCGAGCCCAGCACAGCGCTGCCTACGGAAGAGCTGTCTACCAGGGCGAAAGAGTTTGCCTTCTACCCGAGTTTCGCCAGCTCGTATCAGGCTGTTCCCGGATATCTCGACGTGTCGGTGGTGCCCAGTATCAGTGCCCACCCTGAACCGCGCCACGACGCCTTGATCCCCATGGAGGGCTACCAGCACTGGGCTCTCCCTAATAGCTGGGATGGCTACAAAGAGCCGACACAACCAACTCATATTTGGAAATCACCTTTCCCAGGTATGGAAAAGTATAATGATTTTAAAGTGTCCCGGCCGATTGGAATTTCTGTAGTAGTCCAGCTGCTTGCAGCATTTTAATACGCATTAGGGCTATTAAAAAGCAGGCAGATAGTTTACTTTGCTTTCGTACTGTGGTCATCTAATTTTATTGTGTTAAAGTCTCCGTATCAACTTACCAATGAGCCACGGGAAACTAAATCTGATGAAAAAACACACAACTGTAAATTCCCATGTCTGTCATCACGTGTAATTCTCCTGCATCTCTCATTTTATGCGGAGATATTCATATGGTTTGAAGTTCAACAAATCCCCATGCATTTCTTTGAAATATGCATAAATTGAAAGTAAATTGGAATTCCACGTTAAGGTGGGTTTTCTGGAGCCCATCCTTTCTGAGTATTTGCTTTTGACAGTCATATGATGACAATAGTTAAGTTTCGTCACGTAGAACAGAGAGGAACAGCACTGCATACCTTTGCCCCTTGTATGACAATATAGTGGCTTAGCTAGGCTGCTGCGTTTGGATGGTGCCAATAAATCTTAGCGCCCCCGTGGTGCGTCTTTTGCATATATTAGGATTCATTTATAACATTTGCATTACATACAGATCTTTGCATCATGTCGTATAAATGGTTCAAAAAGACGGACAGGCTCACCTTTTACGTTGTTTGCCATCACACAGCATGCCTCATATCAATAGCATGCGCCAGTATGCACTTTACAGAGTGTTTAGGCTACTTTGTTTAGCTTATGACTTTATTATCTTTTTGAAATCTGTAGCTATTTTTAATTTCTGGTAGGGACCCCATTGCTTTTTAAATGTTATAAATGTTACAAGAGCAAGCCACGCAAGCACGGGCACGCAGACAGTTACGCGCGTACACATGCACGAACACACAAGTGCGCGCTGCCTTTCTGTGCTGTTTCAGCCACACACACAGACTGACGTCCTCTCACGCGCATCAACTGATTTTCTTGCAACTAAAAACACATGCAGTGACTCTCATATCCAGTCAGTTATCCTCAATTTAATGACAAGATATAACTGAATGCTTGAGGACAGTGAGTCAAATAATAGGACATAGCTTTAAAATCCTTTACCTTAAATAATGTGGATTTCCCCCCAATTTCATGTTTAAACAAGAATAGTGTATCGTAACAATCTCTTGCTGCCAATTATAGGGGGCGAAAAACTGCATGTATTACAGCTTGCCAGTATTTGTGTTAAGATTGCCATGCTTGTCCTGTCATGTTTTTGCACGGCTGTTTTGCATTTAGCTTTACTCTTGAAGAAAGAGACTAGTCACAAAAGTTAGGTTAACTTAAAAAAAAAGAACTACGGGGAATTAACAAAAAAAAGTGAATAGAGTATAAAAAAGAAAATTGCTTTATATTATGAGTAAAACTAGAATCTTTCAAGAAAGCCTTTAAAGAAAAGTATAAAATATGTTTAACATGTATAACTTTATTGTAAGAATTAAAAACTTAAAGTTGCCAGCTGTCTTCAAGTTAGATGCCAGATTGTGATTCCTGTGTCTTACTGGTGACTGGTGTGTGGCACACACAACCGGACCAAATATAATTACACTTATCAGTCTTACCCCACAGCTTGATTACATGTCAATGGGAGATTCGTTTAAGATAACAATAACCGCAGTTACGTTGGTCCACAGATTATCAGTGAGATCAGATAAAGTGTTAGTATGAACCATAACTGTCACTTGATATTGAAAGATCATTTACAACAACTGGAAGTTATTCAGTCACCTCTCCACATGTCAGGTGCAGCACACCAGAGATTCTGACTTCCAGAAAATTTTAACTCTGTAGCCCATTCCCGTCACCACACACACACACACACACACACACACACACACACACACACACACACACACACACACACACACACACACACACAC